GGGTGGTAAAACCGTCAATTTCATTTATAGACAGAGGGGGGGTAGAAAGAACCCTCATCAAAAAATGCGACGTGATTTTTTTTGCTTTTTCTTGCGCAATCTAATTAATTAATTATCTCAAACTTCAATCGAACGAAACCTCTGTTTTTCCATCCTCCTCTCGTCCCTCCTTCCCTTCCCCGCCCTTCCGCTTCCCCCTCCCTCCTCCTCCCCCCCCCCTTCCCCCTCCCTTCTCCCGCGGGGTCTATTTTTTTGACGGCTCTTTGGTTACGTTTGATCATAGTCCCCGGCTCTCTCAGCTTTTTTTCCTTACTTAATTTATTTATAGTTTTATAAAACTGCTCCCCTTCGACTTCTCTTTCTTGTTGGCTTCTTTCTTCTTCTTCTTTTTTTCTTTTTTTAATTTCGCGAAAATGAACTTTTATTTACAACGGGCCCAGTGCCCAAAGCAATACTTGGTTACTTGTCATTTTTCCCAATTCTCCCGCTCACTGCCGGCATCACAACAGGTCTTCCTTATTGCCTCCTCCACCTCCTCCACCTCCTCCACCTCCTCCACCTCCTCCACCTCCTCCACCTCCTCCACCTCCTACCACTACTTGGTCGAGCATCCAGCTATGGCGGCTAATCCGCCTCTACCTTCTTCCCCCGAACATAATGCATATGCTTTATAAACGAATACCACGCATAGGGTGCGTGTGTTCTATTCGAATACAACGCATCCTGCGGAAGATGCATTCATCTTCTTCTCATTTCGATAGTGGGGTGGCGAGGCCCCTACCGTCTTCCCCCGAACAGAACGCACCCTCATTCTGACTGTATCTGGCCGGAAACATACCTTGTATACTTTCCTTTTCAGGGTGCGTTGTGTTCGGGCGAAGACGGTAGTTGACCCCAGGGCACTGCTCGGCCTACCCAAAGGTACTACCTTTTTGTGCTTCCCTGCCTCCTACTTCTTCTCCGCCGCTACTTAATCTTGGCTGCCTTGGTTGAGACAATTGCCATCTACAGCCAGAACGAAACATACATGACGCAGGTAGTATCCAAAGAGAGAGAAAGAGAGGAGGAGGGAGGGAAGGCTGCCTTGGGCCTACCTGCCCCTAAGCTACCCTCTGCACAGGCAAACACACGACAACAGGGGTCATTACCAAGCCCCAGGGATCGAACCCGCACTCCGGCCGACATACCCCGCCAAGAAACCCGCCGCACACACGCCCGAGTACTACACCGACAGACGACAGGCAACCACACGGCACACACACATGTCAGCAATCGCCACACGAAAACAGACAGACTCAGACAGCGGCGATCTCAGCAAGCACAGAGAACAACGTTAAAAACTCAGAGAGGCACAGGATCAAAGGGGGCGTCGCCTCACTACTCTCCAAATGCGCAAAATGAGACCGAATCTTCCGTTAGAACATGGAAAGATTCGTTGCCATATTTTTTGTCTTTTCTGAGAGTGGAGAGTCGCAGAGCGAGGCCCGAAATCTGCAAAATTTTGTGGGTTATTTATTACATCTTCTTCTTTATCTTCTTCTTCTGTTTTTTTTTTTTTTTTTTTTTTTTTTTTTTTTT